TTCGTTTGGGGTGGGGGGGGGTAGAGCCACTATTGCATATTTGTGAACAGATTTGTTTTCCTTTTTATTTACAGACTATTAAGCAGTCAAAAAGAATAATAAAATTACATAGACAATAACCAAAAATATATGTGATTAATCATGGACACCGATTACAATTATATCAGTGTGTGAAATATAAAAAGAAGTGCCGGACACATTACTGGTACTTCCAGAACTATCACTCGTGTTAGTACCAGAAGTCCCAGAATGCCCCAAAAGTAAAATATCATGGATTTATCATCATCACTATGAATGCACTGGGATAGACATGGCACATCACACACATCGATTAAGTAATTTTAATCAAAGGACTGTCTATCACATGTTTACACATGAAATTACAGAAAGTAAAATGAAGATGATTATAAGAGTGTTTGTAAAGTTTAAATTAACTAATTTAATATAAGATTTTAAAACTTATTCTTTGCTATTCTGGTACCAAAATGGAACTATAGATTCTTAATTCTGGTCTTTATCAATTAGTCAGCCAAGCTTTATACCATTCAACCACAGAATCAGAGTACCTCACAAGCATTTATCCTTACAAAACCCCTAACTTTCTTGCATTCTTGCTGCATTTAAAGCCCTGAAAAATTAATTGATCTCAGCTGCTCTGAGGCACCACGCAACATGCTTGAATACCTTAATCTCGGTGGACTTTACCTCTCTTCTACTCCTACCTTATGTGCCTTATATTTGAATTCAGGCAAGATTTTGCTCTTTTTATTTACTATAAGTGACTTACAAGAAAAAGTAGCAAATAGAACCCAAATTTTAGGATACTTGATTCTTTCTGTTCTCTGAAAAATTATCCACTTCAGTTAGAAAATGTCAGGTACAATTTGAATTCTACATAAGCTTTTACTATATTAATACACAATATATTCAAAAGATTGTATTTTCTTAATGAAAAAAATTCTTAGTTTTAATGTAACTAGGTCAAAGATTCTAAGTTGAATTTTTCTTTTACAAACCTGAACAATAAGGAAGGAAGCAACTTGGACTGCAATCAAGTTTTTTCATGAATCGAATTTGCCCATTATCCTTCAGGCAAAAGAAATTTCTCTCACCGAGCACAAAAACAGAGGAGGCCTGATTAAAGGACACAACACATATATCCAGCGCTTGCTCTCCAATGTTTAAAACCCAATCCATCTTCAAAAGAGAAAACATAACCAAAGATCAGTTAACAGCTATGTGTATAATAAAAGGCTTAAGGAGACGGTTCAGTCTACATCAAACCAAATAAATTTTCAGCAATATAAGTGAAAAGACAAAATCAGTTTGGGGGGCAGTGAGGGGGAAAGAGGTAAAATGTTCTATTTTTTAGATGCATATTATTTTCAGGAACGTTGTGATTTTCCTGATTCCAAAAAATAAAACACTGTTGGAGAGAGCGGAAAGAAAACAGCCCACAAACATTTTATGAAATAAACCATAAACACATGCTATGCAATTCACTCTGTAATATTTATTGTTCAACAAATAAAAATGCATACATTGTCCAAAATGACAAAACGCTTTGAAATCTGGAAATAAACCTCAAAGTCCCCCATTCTACTAACCAGTTAAAGTCTACCACCTCCTTTGTGTCTGCCCTTAGATACTGCTAAACAAACACTTGACTGATGCCAAGCTGGTTTAACAGAAGAGCTGGGCTTCTAAAACTGATAAAATTCTCAGTTCAACTGTCCTGTATTTTGTGGTTTTGAATCACAACTTTCCACCACTGTGATTAAAAAAATGAGGTATAACCTCCTTCACAAACATACTGTTAGAGCTGAGGTAACAACCTGCACCTTCCATTTTAAAATGCTAAAAATGAATAAAAGAAATCAGGGTTATGTTACATCAGCCACTTTTTGGCAAATTCTTTCGGTTCTGGGATCAATTGATACCCATCATATTGCCTAGGTAACAGGAAGATTCCATAAAATGTTTGATTTTTTTTTTTGCCCTGTGAAATTCCAGTAGTTTGTTAATTTGATGGATTCAGATTCCATTAAGACTCCAACTAAGAATGATCAGAAATTCCCCCCATATGTCCTTCAGTTACTTTTATAAGTTTAGTGTCTAGTTTAATTTACAGTCCCTCATTGGTAAAATGTGTGTTATGTTTGTATTACCCTCTGTTCAACAGAGCTTTCCATACACTTCTGGTAGTGGGATCAAAGGTGAATTCATAATCTTTCTGAAAGCTCTATCAAGTGCCATCAGGAAGGTGGGGCACCAATCCTCCTTTTTCAGTCAAACACAAAGGTTGATGATAGTTACAGAAGAATTTTTGAACCCTCACGATGTAGTTCACGGCTTTTGTCTCCCTCAACAATAGCCCTATTTCAACAATCAATGTAGCTGTGCTCCAATGCCTACACAAGAACATGCAGGGATTTGCACTGATAGTGCTAAGCTTCAACTAGCTCTGTTTGTTCTTAATTTAAGGGTGCAAATCCCTCATGTCCTTGCCCAGTGCAGCTACACCTATTGCTGGCCACCAACTGCTGAATTGAGGCTACCCCTGAGAGTAGACAAGGTCTGGAACTGTGTTAGAAATTATTCTTTTCTCAACATAATTTAGATAGAGTTCTGGACACCCATCCATCAGAAATTTAGGATAAGTGAACATGGGAAATTCTCATTTTTTTCTGTCCTATTTTTATTGCCTCGGACAAAAAAGATCTTCTTGTACTTTTCTCTGCATTCTTGGATGTCATCTTCAGCAATCTGGACATAATATTCTTTCATTTTCTTTTCACAGGCAGAAGCAATTGCATTAGTTATGCATTTTTCCCCCGTATGGATACTTGTACACATTATCAGCTGGTATTGTTTATGGTAAAGTGTATTGCAACATACTCTAAGTGGGGTTACATTTGAAGACTGTTCTTTGATGCCAAACATATTACAGAATACAGTCCTCACCTACTTAGCAGTGTTAGTCAAAGGAAACATAGAGACTCGTTATCGAAGAGCTGGTTCTCTACTTGCTTCCATGTGTAAATCAAGGTGTTGACTTTGATTTACATAGTACAAAAATGTTTGAGTTCTAACTCTTCCAGAGATCATCTCTCCTCCCCACGTACCATAATGGAAGATGAGGTCAGCTGGACTATTTAAGCTAGCATTTTCTGCAAAAAGAACAGGAATATTTGTGGCACTTTAGAGACTAACAAATGTATTTGAGCATAAGCTTTCGTGGGCTACAGCCCACTTCTTCAG